GTTTACAACGGGTGGGGAATGTCCATGTCGTGGGCCCTATAAGGCTCGTGAAATCATTTGATCTGGCCCTGCCAAGGCAACTGCAGGTGAGACTCGAAATTCAATAAAACTAGGAGCTTTTTTTTATAGCAACATAAATTTATATTAAGTGAATCATAATAATAACAAATTTTGAGGGACAATCAAGGACCATCTATTACAGGATATATATGGTACATGATGGGACAGACATGTATGCTTCTTGTGGCTGCCTGTAGCCTCTCTGCTAGTATTGCAGTGACTCGAAGGACAGTCAGTGCCAGGCAGGCTGGGAGTGTACACGTTGCAAAAGTGTTAATACACTGTGGCAAAACTATGGTGATCCAGTGATGACATGAAATGAATTGAGATGATTCCTCACTATGATGATGACCTTGCCTCTGATGATTGATGACATTGTCACCTTCTTTGTTGACACAGACGCTAACTCCAATTCAACCTTTATCCACAAGTCCACGATCAATAATCCTTACAGAAACTGAATCTCAGATGAAGATTAAGGACATTACAGTACACAGAAAAGACCTCAAATGTCTATGATATGAATGTTGGTTATGTTCCAAATCCAAGATGCAGGATTAGAACAGCAATCAAAGCAAAATAATCATGTCACTGGCGACACACACACTGGATAGTTATTAAAACTTAAGTGGTGTGACATCCTACAAATGGCAACTACAAAGAAAATAAAAGTTGATTCAGAGTGTTGATCTTTCCAAGAGAAATGGATGAATGATTATTTTTTTTGTTAAAGTCAAATGCAAACTTGTGTGCCTAGTTTGTGGCAATGTATTGCAGTAATGAAAAAATTCAATCATTATATCTCAGAACATGCTAAACTCAATGAATTGGGGGACCAAATGTGTCTGGATAAAGTCAGTGTTCTTGCCCTTGCTGGTTTGGCTCAGCGGTTAGAGTGTCGGCCTGAGGTCCAGAGAGACTTGGGTTTGGTTCCCGCTAAGGGCATGTACCTCCGTTGCAGTTTGTCTCCGGCCCTGGTTGGGTCGTGTGGGTGGCAACCACTCGATGTGTCCCTTTCACATCAATGTTTCTCTCTCTCTCTCTTCCTCTCTCCCTCCCACTCTATCTGAACAAAAAAAAAAAAGAAAGAAAAGAAAAAATGTCCTTGGGTGGAGGATAAAAACAATAAATAAAATCAGTGCTCTTCAGCAGAGTTTGGAATCACAACAAACCATTTTCACTAGGCCTCATTGTGACAAAGACAACGTTATTCAGATAAGTTATGTAGTGAGCGAGCTAATTGCAAAGAAGCTGAGGCCTCATGTGGAGGGAGAATTTGTGAAAGAGTGCATGGTGGCTGCTGCGGAGTTGTTGGGACCAGACAAAGTAAAACTGTTTCGGAGTGTTAGTTTGTCTCGGAGAACCATCTTAGATTAGATTACTGATTTAGCACAAGACATTGAAATAACACCAAAGGATTCTGCAGGAGATTTTCAGTTTTTCTCTCTGGCTTGTGACGAGACAATGGACACAACAAACACTGCCCAACTGGCTGTTTTCATTCATGGGATAACTGCAGAATTGGACATGCAAGAGGAACTGCTGTCACTGGAAGCCATGCATGGCACTACAGAGGTGAGATACTGGAAAACTGGAACATAATCGGTTCCAGGCAACCAGTTATGTGGAAGATCTAAAAAAAATCATGATGAACTTTGATAACACACTCATCATAATATGACAAGACTGTCGCCATAGGCGTTCTTGTATTGTCTTGGATAGTTGCTCCAGTTGACTCATTTATAGTACTAGTGTTCCCCAGCCAGCCAGTTTATAGCCTCAGATTGGGGTTACAATTGGTTTCCACTCAGTATTTACTGGAAAATAGCCGTTGCTATTCCTTAAGTAAGATTCCTGTCGAAGCACATTAAAATCTTGGTAAATCGCAATGCTCTGTTGGGATACATTGCTAAAACATAGGCTTTCCCATTAAACTGAAGGGGAAGAAAATTTGAAAAAGCCCATTGAGAACTTGGGTGGGTTGGGGGCAGCATAAGTAGTGACTGCTATGTATTTTAACTGCAGAGTTTTTACATTTGCCACGTTGAATAGTTGGTAAAGGAAAACTCTGATGAAGCTGCAGTAGTATCATCCTGTGTAGGGTTATTTCAGAACAAGTCTAATGCTTCAGAATCTTCTTGACTTTGTAGTCTGATATGTTATAGTAAATGGTATATAAAACCTCTGTATATTTTTCTGTATGGACTTGCTAATGTGTACAACAAATCCAGATCTTTGTTTTGTTTTTCAATAAGAATCAATCAAGAAAGAATGTGAAAAAGAAAGGAATTTTAGAGACAGGGAAAAGATGAATGTCAGGCATTTGAAGAACTGTAGGAAAAGGCTAACGGCATTATTATACTTGAGAAAATTTTCTTGACATGTAAATGAGGTAGGTCTGATCTTTGAAAAAGTGGATAGAAATAAAACGTATGTCCTCACTGATCCATAGGGATGAGTGAGTGGGATCCCAAGGAAGCCTGCCTAGTGGGGTGCTAAAACTATCTTACCCAGTCCCGGTGATTCCACAACCCTTGGACCTGCCCAGTGACCACTTACACAATGGAATTAGGACAAGAATGTTCCTAGCCATTGGCTAAACTGAAAGAAACAACTTTTACAAGTTGAAATGCTACCTTATAAGTAGAACATGAATGAAATAAAGGATCCCCTTGAGGATTTTCTACTGTGAAAAAAAAAAAAGAAATGGTTCTGGTAAAAAAAAAAAAAAGGATATTTACATGCAAAAGAATGCAACGTGGATTAAACATTTAAATGTAAGACCCGAATCTGTAAACATAGAGAGACAGCTCCTTGGCATTGGCCTTGAGAATGATTTCTTGGATTTGACACCACTAGAGCCAGCAACTAAAAGGAAAATAAACTAGTGGGACCACATCAAACTGAAAAGTTTCTCCACAACAAAGGAAACAATCAACAAAAGGAAAAGGTGACCCACAGAATGGGAGAAAATATTTTTAAACCAGGTATCTGATGAAGGGGAGATACTGATCAAGAGGGACAAATTTTCAGATGTAAAGTAAGTTCTAGGGGCCTAATGTACAGCATGGTGACTATAGTTGGTAACTCTATATCATACTTGATATTGCCAAGAGAGTAATCTCAAATCTTCCAACAAAAGATAACTGACATGATGGATGTTTTAATTAGCTTGATTGTGGTCATCATTTCACAGTGTATACATTTATCAAAACATAGTGTTGTACACATTAAAACATACATTTTTTATTTATCAATATATCAGTAAAGATGAAAGATAAAAATGAAGTGACAGTTTCTGGGGGAGATGATTTTCACATTGTATAAATAATTTAGTTATAGGCAGGTTTATTTATTTATTTTATTTTATTTTTTTATCCTCACCCGAGGATATTTTTCCATTTTTTGTACAGATAGAGTGGGAGGGAGAGAGAGGAAGGGAGAGAGAGAGAGAAACATCGATGTGAAGGGACACACCGAGTGGCTGCCACCCGCATGACCAACCAGGGCCGGGGACAAACTGCAACCGAAGCACGTGCCCTTAGCGGGAACCGAACCCGGGTCTCTCCAGACTGCAGGCTGACGCTCTAACCGCTGTGCCAAACTGGCCAGGGCTAGGCAGGTTTATTTTTAAATGAATATGTGGTTCTTAAATATTATAACCTCAAGATGGATTATTTAATCAAAATCTAATGAAAAACTTGTCTTTTGTTATGAGGAAGACTTAGTATATTGGGGATGGAGCTTTAGAAAAATATATTTTAAGCTTCAATTTAAAGTGTCTGAGTTTTTTTTCATTGTTGATTTTTTTTTAGCTTGCTTTTACTGATAAAAGGAAATGATGTAAATCATTCAGTTTGTGACATAGGTATATTGTCACTGTGTTTTTGAGTTTAGCAAACATAATACGTATATAACAGTATACACAGGCACTGAAGTAGCTTTTGTGGGAAATAAAGACACAATCCTTCTTCTTGGGGTATTTAAAATTTAATCATTGAGACAAATATATGTGTGTGTGTGTGTGTGTGTGTGTGTGTACACACACATACCTGCGATCCATAAATAATAAAAGGCAGTAGGTGACCAGGTATCAAAAGTTCTATAGGAACTTAAGAGAATAAATGTAACTGAAGAGTGATTACTTAGTATAATGGAAGAAGTGGGTGTTTAAGATAGCATGTTATAAGTATAGAATTTGATTTGGTGGAAAGGTACAAGGTACAAAGACTTTACTTTTCTGCTCATCAGCCTTATTGAATTATTAGCAGTTTCTTTAATGTTCTGTGTTCTCTATGATAATGCTGTGACTTTGCAGTGCCTTTTGTTTGTTTTTGAAATTCCCTTAGGTACTTATTTGTCAGCCTCACAGTTTCCTCTTTCAAGACACAGTTGAAATATCTTCTCTGTGAAGTCCTCTGAACTCCCTAGGTAGAGCTAGGTGCTTCCTTTTCTTTTCTCCCATAGAGTGTGTGTTCATCAGTTCTCTCTCTCTCTCTCTCTCTCTCTGTCTCTGTCATCATAGTCATTATTACATTGCATTTATTTACTGTATCTCAGCCACATGCTTGTGAGCTTCATGAATATGAGGGTTATATCATTTATCTCCAGATCATAGTGCCTCAAGTAATGGTTTTGTACATTGGCCCATTCATTGAATGTTCACTGGATGAAAGAATGAATTGGATAGAAAGAATTGTCTGGGAATGTATTTATGAGTACTGGGGAACTCTGTCCAGAGGGAGTGTGAATGGTAAGAATTAACCATGCAGGAATACAGAGTTTGCAGTTTATTGGTATTTGGAGATAAGATTGAATGGGCAAAGTGTGACTTGTTGGCAGTTGAAGTTTTGATACATAATGGAGTTACAATGAAAATTTCTGAAATTGGTTTATTAAAGCTCCCATTTTTCAAACATACTATGCTTTTTATTTTGCAGTGCTTCCACTTCTCATTCAGAGAATTCAGTGCATACAAAATCCGCTTCTGCTGTGTCATCAGATTCCATTTCAACTTCTGCAGACAACTTTTCTCCAGATTTGAGGGTATGTATATTGTTTCTAAGTGCTGATGAAATATTCTTTGTTAACTATTTGTGGCTAACATTATCATTATAACCCTTAACTAAGTAAGCAAGAGATACTGATGGAATATTCTCAAAGACCTCACTCATTCTTTATAAAATAACCCAGAAAAAGGCCAGCAAACTGGGAAGTCTTATTTATTTGTAAACAAAAATGTTTAATTCATCTCTAAGTTTGATAACTTTTAAGTTCTTAGCCAAAAGATAAGTAATGAATTTCTTTGTGGCATAAAAGATTTTTATGATTTTTATGATAACATTTTGATTAATGAAGTCATTTACTCTTGAGCATATTGGGAATATCTTTTTCATGTGTTTCATTTTCAAAAGATAGTCCAGCAAATACATGTAAATAGACAGGTTAGAAACATCTGTAAAGGCTTCTACAAATTTGTCATTACTTTTTGTTAAGTGTCATAAAATACTAGATTGGATATAACATGACTTTAAACAATGTTAAAAATTATAAAGATTTATATTTATAATCTGGATATACATTGTGCTAACTATGAAGGCTTTAGAATATCGTTAGCTGTTATCTTAAAGTATTCTTTTAGGTTAGGGTCCATTGTTAATAATAGTGGATATAGCTCTGGCCGGTTTGGCTCAGCGGCTGGAACGTCAGCTTGTGGACCAGAGAGTCCAGGGTTCGGTGCCCGCTAGGGGCATGTACCAAAAAAAAAAAGAGAAAAATGGATATAAATCCATTGCTGCCTCTCATTTTTTTACTATTTAAAAATATATATTTTATATATGTATCTAACTTTTGTTTATTACATTAATAAAAATCCGCTAAAGGCCTATAGTCCTCTTGATAATTTTGAAATTTTTTTTGGTCTACTTCTTGTTAGAACTTATTAGTTAAAAACATCCTTGTTTTTAACCTCATAGTGTGACTGACAAAGAACTCATACTAGGAATAGGAGAAATGTCACTTTGGCTTCTTACGTTATTTTATTATTATTATTTTTAATATTATTTTTTTATCTTGAGATAGAGTGGGAGGGAGAGAGGGAGGAAAAGAGAGAGAGAGAGAGAGAGAGAGAGAGAGAGAAGCATCAATGTGAGAGAGATACATTGAGTGACTGCCACCCACACAACCCGAACTGGGGCTGGGCACAAACTGCAACTGAGGTGCATGCCCTTAGTGAGAACCGAACCCACCTCTCTGGTCCGCGAGCCAACATTCTATCTGCTGAGCCAAACTGGCCAGGGCTATTTTATTATTATTTTAATCCTCACCTGAGGATATTTTTCCATTTATCTTCAGAGACAGTGTTGGGGGGCTGTGGGAGGGGAGAGAGAGCGACACCGACGTGAGAGAGACACGTTGGTTGCCTCCCACACAACCCAACCAGGGCAGGGGATGAACCGCAACCAAGGTACATGCCCTTGACTGGAATTGAACCCGAGACTATTTGGTCCTCAGGCCGGTGTTCCAACAGCTGAGCCAAACTGATCAGGACAACTTCTTACATTATTAATATTGTGTTCTACCTGCTGTTTCTTGCCTGAAATATTTTAAACGATTTATGTATTCTTGTGAGGATTAGTTTAGTTCTACTCCACTGGGCACACATGTGAATTGCAGTATGTAGCAGGATGCTGAAAGGAGGCCCCTGTTATCAGCTTCTCTGCATGTAGACCCCCTTCCTTCCCTTAGGATGCCATATGGACCATAAACAAGAGTGACTGGGTTACATTGGAACAGTCTGAGTTATAATGTTAATCTGTATATTAAATATTATAATTAATTTCTTATTTTTATTAGATCTCTAGTTTTTTAATTTTGGAGCAGTTTTAGATTTACAGAAAAATTGTCAAGATAGTACAGAGTTCTCATAGACTTGACAATCCAGTTTCCTCTATTGTTAGTATCTTATATTTGTGTGGTACGTTTGTCAAAAATGAACCAGTGTTGCTATATTATTATTAACTATAAAGTCTATACTTTATTCAGATATCCTGAGTTGTTTATTTTGTTGTTGTTGTTAATCCTTACCCAAGGATATTTTTTCCATTGATCTTCAGAGAGAGTGAAAGGGGGTGGGGGAGAGAGAGAGAGACATTGATGTGAGAGACACACATTGGTTGCCTCCTGCACACACCCTGGCGGGGTCTGCATGCCCTTGACTGGGAATCAAACCTGTGACTCTTTGGTGCGTGGGCTGACTCCCTAACCACAGTGCCACACTGGCCAGGGCAGATATTCTTAGTTTTTAACCTAACGTCCTCCTTGTTCTGGGTTCCATCCAGAATAACACATGACATTAGTAGTCATGCCTTCTTAGGTGCCTCTTGGCTGTGAAAGGTTTTCAGACTTTGGTTTTGATGACCCTGACAGTTTGGAAGAGCAGTGGTCAGGTATTTTGTAGAATGTGTGATTTCTTATTTATTATTGTACTGGGGTTATGTGTTTGGGAGAAGAAGACCACAGAGGTCAAGAGCTATTTTTATCACAGCATATTAAGGGTGCATATTATCATGTGATTTATCACTGCTGATGTTAACCTTAATCAGTTGGTTATAGTACTGTTAGATGTTTTTGCAGTAAAATACTCTTTCTTTTCCTCCTCCTCCTTATACTGTCCTCTTTGGAAGGGAGGTGGCTGTGCGCAGCTCACCCTTAAAGAGTGTGGAGTTACTCTCTTCTTTGTTGAGAGTACAACATCTACATACATATTTTTGTAATTCCTCTGCTTCAGAGATCTGTCTCTTCTCCCTCATTTGTTGAATTACATACTCATTTATTTGTATCAGTATGGACTCGTGGATATTTATTGATATTTTGGATTACAAGCCAATGTTACCTTGTTCCTCATATTGTTCCAACTCCAAAGTGGGAGTTTTAAAATTCAGATCTTGTGTTCCTTTGACACATTGTGTTGTGTGTGTGTGTGTGTTTTAGCTCTTCTTTAGTTTTTGGTCCTATTAGATGCTCAAACACATGTTGATATTTTCCTCTCTCAGTTCTGGAATCATAATCCGTTTCTCAAGGAGCCCAAGTTTCTTTTATTGGAGAATGGTAATTAGAAACCAGTATCTGGGTACTAGGTGTGCTAACTTTTGTATTTTTTTAAACCAAAAAGTAAAAAAGGGAATAATACTTTAATTTTCCTTTTGAAGCAAAAGCTTATTTGCACGCATCCTGTTTGGAGATAATATGGGTAGGGTGATCATATATATCTAAATTTGTCTGGAGTAGATAGACTTATTTCATGCTTGTTGTCCCTTCAGGTTTAACATTAGTCACAAAAATATCCTGGATTATTGCCTCTTTCAGCATAAGGGTACCAAGGGAATCTGTGAAATTTATGTATTATCTCCACGATTAAAGGAGTTATCCTCATTAGTGCCATATTCAGCATTTTCACAATGTTGTGGGGCTCTCAGCACGTTTTTATTAGATGAATGAAGAGACAGTTGTTAAATGTTAAACTGAAGAGAAGATGGTTTTGATCAACAAAGGTTAACTGTACTTTCCATAGCAGAGTGCCTAAAGTGACAGACAAAAAAGAAAACTGATATGTAGGCTGCCTGTTACCTGTTTCTCATTTTTAAGGATATTATTGATTGTTAGATATATCTTTGCTTTAATCACAGTCTTTTTGTCAGTTGTGGGAGAAAAATGAGTATCATTTTTTCTTAACTATAATTTTTTAGAGAGGAAGGGGGAGAGAGAGAGAGACATTGATGTGAGAGAGAAACATTGATTGGCAGCCTCCTGCACACCCCCTACTGAGGACCAAGTCCAAAACCCAGGCATGTGCCCTGACCAGTAATTGAACCTCGACCTCTCAGTTCATGGGACGATGCTCAATCCACTGAGCCACACTGGCCGGGCAGTGTTAGTATCATTTAAAAATTATAACCTATTTCAAATATATGTTTCAGAGCTGTAATAGGAGGAAGGACATGCTTGTAATAATTGAAAAAAAAAATCTGTTGTTGTGATAAACATTTATACATGATTCATATAATTTAACTTTCATAATAATGCTGTGAGACAGACATTATTACCCATTTGACCGATGATGAAAACCTGATATTCAGAAGACAGTAATTAAATCATGTGCTTAAAGGCACACAGTTAGGTTTTGTCCTTATTTGGTCTTGGGTTGGTCATATTCCTATACATAGCACCTTACCCAGAGAGATTATCTTTCCATGATTGTGCTGGTTTTTCTGTTTGTTTGTTTCAAATGTGTAGTGAGATTTACATAATTAACAGGAATATCTTTAATACATTTTTTGAGGTAGAAATAGTTTTCAGTATTAATACATGAGTTTGCTTTTCTGAATAACCAGGAAACAAGGGTATTTGTATTGAAATCTGATCTCCCCCTCCTTGGTTTTGTTATTGATATTTTGCTTTTAGTATGTATACCTTTATTGGCCATAAAATGGTAGTGTTCTTGTTAATTATAGGTAGAACTAACCACAGACAGCCATGTGTTGCTTTTTGACTGACCACAGTTTGGCTCTATTTATGAGATGAGGGGCCTGGTACAGTGGTTTTGAAAGTCACCATTCACAGATCTCTAGACTTTGAGTTCTCACTATTTATCCCTGCCCTAAGCCTCAACAATTTGTAAGTTCCTTCAGTAAAAGCAGAAACACAATACATTGAAGAGTTAATCAAATTTTATTAAAAATGTTAAATCAAATTGCATAAGTTTTTTGCTACAGGTAGCATGCAGTGACATTTTCCTGAAAGGATAGTGTCTTAGATTAATAGCTGAATGTAAAAGCTTCTGTTAAGGATTTCTTATACAATCAACACTTGTTGCCTATATATCAGTAAAGCAGAATGGAAAATCACCTGGAGTATGGAACTATTTTAGATATGTTAAACTTGTGTTTATTCAAGTGCAATTCTATTTGTCTTTTTCACCTTGTTAACCTTACTTGTGAAAGCATCATATACAAATATAATCCAATAGATGTATTTCTGGAAAATTG